CACCACACGAGTGTGGACTCGAACTCACAACTCTGAGATCAAAAGTCGAACTCTCTTCCGACTGAGCCAGTCAGGCACCTCAAAAATCTCCGGATTCTAAAATGTTAATTTTACTGATCCTCTAGTTAGCCATAGAACTATAAATGTTATAATTTCTTACCTTTAAAGCATGTACTCAAGTTTCAAAGCAGATTTCTAAAATATGGATAATACTAAATGTTACATACAATGTATAGCATTCCCAAACACTTCTAATACAACTACTTTATAAAATGTATTTGGAAAATATTTGACTGGCTATTTTGTACCTTATGCCATGTTAAGAATAAGAGATATGGACCGTCTTACACTGTTGGTGGGAATGCAAGTTGATACAGCCACTTTGGAAAACAGTGTGGAGGTTCCTCAAAAAATTAAAAATAGAGCTACCCTATGACCCAGCAATTGCACTCCTGGGTATTTACCCCAAAGACACAGATGTAGTGAAAAGAAGGCCCATATGCACCCCAATGTTCATAGCAGCAATGTCCGCAATAGCCAAACTGTGGGAAGAGCCGAGATGCCCTTCAACAGATGAATGGATAAAGAAAATGTGGTCCAGATATACAATGGAATATTACTCAGCCATCAGAAAGGATGAATACCCAACTTTTACATCAACATGGATGGGACTGGAGGAGATTATGCTAAGTGAAAATAAGTCAAGCAGAGAAAGTCAATTATCATATGGTTTCACTTATTTGTGGAACATAAGGAATAGCAATAGAGGACATTAGGAGAAGGGAAAAATGAAGGGGGGGAAATCGGAGGGAGAGATGAACCATGAGAGACTATGGACTCTAAGAAACAAACAGGGTTTTGGAGGGGAGGGGGGTGGGGGAATGGGTTAGCCCGGTGATGGGTATTAAGGAGGGCATGTACTGCATGGAGCACTGGGTGTTATACGAAAACAATGGATCATGGATCACCACATCAAAAACTAATGATGTATTGTATGGTGACTAACATAACATAATAAAATTAAAAAAAAAAAAAAAAGAAGAGATATGGAAAGAAAAAAAGAATAAGAGATATGGTCCTTGCCCTCAAAATCAGATTAGTAAGAACAAACAAGTATAATTTTGTGATATATATATAATAATAAAGATATACACAGGCACTATGGGAACATAGGGGATTAAGATTATGGAGCTGGTCATCTCTCCTCAGCACCCACACTTCCCTCTTAGACAGCCTGATTACCAGTGAAGGGCAATCCTAGAATATCCAGGACCCAGACATACCTGCCTCAGGTGAACCAGGGAGACACCAGGGGAGACACCTAAGTTAAGCCAATCAGATTACCTCTTCAGGAAATTTGTAAAAAGAAAAAAAGCCAAACAGAGGTGGGAAGCAAAGATTCCAAATCATACTCCAGACTGGTAGACTTTTACTATCATATTCATACTGATAAGAAATTAATGAAACCCAGAAGAGAGCAGGCACAGAAAAAGAGATGAGAAACCATGCAGCGAAGAAGGAAAGTAGTTTCTGTAATGCCTGCCTATGCTTTCTGTGACTGAATCATGCAAGTCTTCTATATTCTGAGTATGAGCTCTTTTTTTTTTTTTAACCTGAATTTATCCAATTAAGTTTCTAACCCCTAAGACAAGTACATTGCCAAATGTGGAGAGAGGGTCTGGGAAGGCTACTACTGAAGGAAGTAATGCCTGAGTGTAGTCTCAAAGGTAGAGGCATCAGGCAGTAAGGATGATGTTTTCAGCAGAGAAGACAGCAAGCATGTAGAATCACAATGAAGCAGAAGTACACTGAGATCTTTAAGAACTTCTGATGGCTGAAGCATGGGGATGTAAGGCTGAAGGGAAGAGAGAGAAGGCCAGAAAGAGAAGTGAATCCTGAAAGGCCTTTATTACCCTGGCAAGGAGTTTGGATTCCACCCTCACCACCCCCATCCCACTGCTACTCTGAAGTTATAAATACAAGCCTGTGCCAAAATGTTGAGCTAAGCAAGTTTTTCACATTTTTAAATGGGCGGGGGTGGGAGGAGAATAAGCAACAGAGACCATATGTGGCCCCTATAAAGTCTAAAATATCCACTATCTGGCCCTTTAAAGAATAAGTGTGCTTAATTATGCTGTAAAAAAAATGGAAAGATTTTATGATGCTGAACTAGATAATCAAAGGGAAATTTCTGCAAGATCTAATAGAAGTATGGAGGATGGATTAAAGGCCAACACTATGCATAAGAAAGCCAGTACAAATTACTGCTAAATTCAGAAAAGAGAATGATGATTTGCACACCAAAAGTACCCGTCAAAATGAGAGAAAAGGACCAGTTATAAAATAAATGTTTAGGATAAGGCCTCAAATCTGTAACACTGCCTCCACACCACTGCATATGGACTGACCCCTGCCTTCTACCCCAGTCTTATGCTACTCTTTAATCCCTTGGCTCTAGTCTCATGCAGGCTTTTAATCCAAACCATCTCTCAGCCTAGAATGCTCTCACTTCCCACCTACCCATCTTTCTTAGTAAACACTGTTCACCCTCCATCCACTATCTCTCTACCCTTAAGTTCAGATCACTCATTTACTTAGTCATTTAAGTCAATAAATGTTTATTGAGTACATGCAAGAGGGCAGGAATTGTGCTAGACTCTAGGGTACAATGATACAGACACAGTCCCTGCCCTCACGGAATTTACATTTTTTTTTAAATTTTATGTTTAATGCTTTTTCTTTTAAGATTTTATTTGTTTATTTGAGAGAGAGAATGAGATAGAGAGAGCGTAAGAGGGGGGAGGGCCAGAGAGAGAAGCAGACTCCCTGCTGAGCAGGGAGCCTGATGCAGGACTTGATCTGAGGACTCCAGGATCATGACCTGAGCCGAAGGCAGTGGCTTAACCAACTGAGCCACCCAGGCGCCCGGAATTTACATTTAAAAAAAAAAAAATTTATTTTAGAGGGGGGGGGTGGGCACACATGCATGTGGGAGGAGGGGCGGAGAGAGGGAGAGAGGGAGGGAGGAAGAGAAAGAGGGAGGAAGAGAGACAGGGAGGAAGAGAGAGGGACAGAGAGAGGGAGAGAGAGAGGAAGAAGCAGACTCCCCACTGAATGCGGAGCCTGACACTGGGTTCAATCTCAAAACCCAGAGAGCATGATCTGAGCCGAAATCAAAAGCTGGACACTTAACTGACTGAGCCACCCAGGTGCCCCTGGAATTACATTTTATGGAATACTTCTAACCAAATCAGGATTTGAACATTTAAGTTGGTCAAGTAGCTCAGAAATTATTTAACCTATATATATCAGTGTGCAAGAAAAAGTTTGCCAACCTTTCCTCCTTGGAAAATTCCCTGCTTAAAAATTTTTACTTTTTCAGGGGCGCCTGGGTGGCTCAGTTGGTTAAGCGACTGCCTTCGGCTCAGGTCATGATCCTGGAGTCCCGGGATCGAGTCCCGCATCGGGCTTCCTGCTCAGCAGGGAGTCTGCTTCTCCCTCTGACCCTCTTCCCTCTCGTGCTTTCTCTCTCTCATTCTCTCTCTCTCTCAAATAAATAAAATCTTTAAAAATTTTTTTACTTTTTCAAATACATTATACATATATATTTACTTTCTAAATTTTGTCCAAATTAGAGTAACTGTACATTTACACATGGTTTCTCTTTTGATCTGAACCTTCAGATTCAGGTACAACAGCACAGGCCAATCTGCTCGTGTATCTTGATACATCTGACAAAGTCTATCACTAGACCATCACGTTTTGAAAGATTTTGTATGCCAGATCACATTTAATTTATCAAAAATTTCCTTCCATTTTTAGAAGCTATATCCCCAAACTATAAATGGCTTGGAATGAGAAACCACTGTATTTTATATTTTTAACTTCACCACACTGTGGCTGACACACAGAAGACTTTCAATAAAGGTATATTTGAGGACTATATAACTGCCTATTAATGTTTCTGATCAGTGTGAATAATCATGAAACTAAATTTAGTTGATTTAATCCAATACAAAAGCAAATAAATGTTGACATTTTAGTTAGTATGTACAGCCTTCAAATGGGCAATACTTTTTGTCCAAAATATTTTTGGACTATAGAAAATACTTCGGGGTGTTTGGTTGGCTCAGTAGGTAGAGCATGTGACTCTTGATCTTGGGGTGATGAGTTTAGGCCCCATACTGGGCGTGGAGCTTACTTAAAAAAAAAAAAGAAAGAAAATATTTCAAGGAGTAACTCTTGTTACTATCTGTTATAAAATCCTAGAAGAATTGGGACTTTCATATGCGGACCCTTTACTATAGAGAATTCCCTAGTCAGATAAGTTTAGGAGGCTCTTAGTTAAAATTAAACCATTTGGGACACCTGGGTGGCTCAGTCAGTTAAGCGTCTGCCTTCAGCTCAGGTCATGATCCCAGGGTCCTGGGATCGAGTCCCTCATCAGGCTCCTTGCTCAGCGGGGAGCCTGCTTCTTCTTCTGCCTGCTGCTCCCCCTGCTTGTGCTCTCTGACAAATAAATAAAATCTTTCAAAAAAAATTAAACAATTTAATATTAAGTCTTCAATGTGCTTTTATTTTTTTTGAAAGATTTTATTTATCTATTCGGCAGAGAGAGACACAGTGAGAGAGGGAACACAAGCAGGGGGAGAGGGAGAAGCAGGCTCCCTGCTGAGCAGGGAGCCCGATGCAGGGCTCGATCTCAGACCCTGGGATCATGACATGAGTCAAAGGCAGATGCTTAACCAACTGAGCCACTCAGGAACCCCCCTTCAATGTGCTTTTATATGTGGATATGCATTGTAGCTCCAAAAGGACATTTCCAAATTTACTAAATCTCCAATTTGAATTTTTTTTTTTTTTACTAAATACTATCAATATGGTAGGACACTAGCACCCTGAGGATACTATCTGGAAGCATCTGTTGAACTCAGTAATATTTGAGAGACAATTGGAAAAATAAAAAACCACTTTTGCATTAAAAGCTTAAAATCTCTTACCTTTCTAACTGGTGGGCCATGAGCTTTATTCAGTGCTGCCAGGAATCCCTTAGCTCTAATCAAGTAAGCAGTGCTTCTCAAGTTTCCATCTGAGTCTCCCTAGGGCAAAGGGAAGGCAGAAAAGAGATTGAACTCCTTACTCTGTGAGATCTGAGGAAACAGGCTCATGCAGTTGAACTCTGACACAAAAATTTTTAAGCATTTACTTTATATTTATTTATTTTTAAAGATTTTATTTATTTATTTGACAGACAGAGATAGTGAGAGCAGGAACACAAGCAGGGGGAGTGGGAGAGGGAGAAGCAGGCTCTCCACAGAGCAGGGAACCCGATGTGGGACTCGATCCCAGGACCCTGGGATCATGACCTGAGCCGAAGGCAGACGCCCAACGACTGAGCCACCCAGGCATTTACTTTATATTTAAAAATGTATGTGAAGTTTGCCTTTCATTCCATTATTTTCTGATATAAAAATTAAGGTTCCCTCCAAAAGTTTCAATGCTCCAGGAAGATGTTTATCCTGTGGTTGCCTGCAACTCCTAGCAAAATGCCACATAGAGGTGTTTAACAGCTTCAAAGATGGAAGTACAGCAGTGGAATCTTGGTGAAAGGAGAAAAATGAAGCTTTTTAATAGAAGGGAGGGGTAGTCATAGATAATTGGTGAAATGGCAGTGCTGAATCTGAGCATCAAAATTCTAAGTGGAGATGATAATATGTTTTTTTTCCTTTTCTTCCAAGTTTTTATTTAGAGATGAAAATTTTTTCTTGTGGGTCAGTGCTGCACCATACCATCCAGGGGACCCAGTTCATGTGCTTTTCATTTGGAAACAGCTTGATTTTTTTATACCTATATCAGCTGGATTGGGTTCAGCTATGAGTGACAGAAAACTCAAAATTTGTTAACAATAGCTTAAATGACTTCTAAGTTTATTTCTTTCACATAAAAGCACAGGCAATCCCAAACCATAATCATTAGGAACCCAGGCTCCTTCTATTTTGTTGTTTTGCCATCCTCAACATGTGGTATCCCCTTCATGGTTTAAAATAACTGCTTAAGGTCTAACCATAACGAGAAGATGAGCAATAGCCTATGTAGGAAATTTTCCAACAGCTCACAGGAAACTTCTATTTACATTCCATACACCAGAACTTAAGTCACAACAGCTATACCTAGCTGAGAAATAAATTCATTTCACCATATGCTCAGCTAAAAACTGGAGCACCAATAATAAAGAAAAAGAAGAAAATGAATACTTGTCAACATTTCTGTCATCATACTCTTTCACCCTAAAATATAGGATGGTGGGATACCTTGTAGAAATGTCTTAGCAGTCTACTGAAGGGAGCTTTCAAAAGCAGAAAGTCCTGCCAGTGGCCAATGAGCAAGACCAGTGTTGATAAAGAACTTCTCTAAATATAAAAGGCCAATCTGTAGGTGACATAGAAAAATCTGAAGACCAGAATAACAATGCAATAGCAAAGAAACCACCTAAATAAGTTGTAGTTTGGGAGGATAAACTCACATGTGAGGTCCACAAAACTCAGAAATGATTAACAGAGGGCCATTATATAAGTAATGGAGTGCCCAAGCGGAGTCTGGGTAAGAACCTGGCAGAAAACCAAGTTACCAATTCCATTAGGAAAAGGCAGTAATCCTGGAACAAGATGTTAAAAGGGAAAGTAGACTTTCCAATACCATTATTTAAGGACTGAACTCTATTAGGCTGTGTATGAACTTGGGGGATGTCCCTATTGCGCAGACTGTTGAAAAGAAGGATTGCACTTTACCCTGAATAAGGCTGGCTGAAACAGTCTTCATGTTTAAAACTCTGATGAGAATACTAGAAGCTGGAAAGACTCTCATTTCAAAGCTGCATCAAAATTCTGTTTTACACAGACTGTTCCTTAAAGGGAAAGGGACCTGAACAGGACACTTAGCTGTACAAATGTAAAATAAGGACTATAAATGGAGCAGCAATTCAAAGGACAAATGCCTCTGGGTAAAGGTTCACATTTTCTAGGTAGAGATAAATTTCTGCAAATTGTTTCTTTCAGGGAAATGTATATTTTTAAGTAGGGCTTCAGATTTTCCTATGAAGTGTTGTGTTCTTATTTTAGCAGTTGCTCACAAAAGACCAGGAACTAACACCCTAGAAAACAGCAAGATGGACTTCTGGTCTTCACTTCAAGAGAAAGGCAACAAGATTAAGCTAGCAAGCTGTACCTGGCCTGGCCTATACAGCTTATGTTTTATGCATGCAATGTTAAGATTATCATCCAGACTTTGAGAGACATTAAACAATGTTTTTTTTTGTTTTTGGGTTTTTTTTTTGTAACTTGAAACACAGAGATGTAAAGAACTTCTCTTTTACCACTGCTACCCTACCCTAGCTACTGTGTATGTATTTCTTATACAAGCATATTATTTTATTGTGCCTCACAGTGCATTTTTTATAAATTGAAGGTTTTTGGCAACCTTCACTACATGGAACAACTCTATTGGTGCCAATTTTCCAATAGCATTTGCTCACTTCATGTCTTTGTGTCACCTTTTGGTAATTGTTGCAAATTTCAAACTTCTTCACTATTATTATATTTGTTATGGTGATTTGTGATCAGTGATCTTTGATGTTACTATTATAACTGTTTTAGGGTGCCATGGACTACACCCACATAAGACAGCAAACTTAACTGGTTAAGTGCTGTTTAAGTTCTAACAGTTCCACCTACCAGCTCCTCCCCCACCTCTCTCCCTCTCTTTCTGCTTCCCTGTGCCCTGAAACACAACAATATTGAAATTAGACCAATAAATGACCCTACAATGGCCTCTAAATGTTCAAGGGAAAGGAAGAGGGGCACATCTCCCACATTAAACCAAAAGCTAGAAATGATTACGCTTAGTGAGGAAGGCGTGTTGAAACCCGAGACAGGCCAAAAGCTAGGCCTCTTGCACCAAACAGGTAGCCAAGCTGTGAATGCAAAGGTAAAATTCTTGATGGAAATCAAAAGTGCTATTCTAGTGAACATGCAAATGATAAATGAAACAGCCTTACAATTGAAACTTTTGGTGGCATGAATAGATCAAACCAGCTATACATGGCAGAAAACTGTTATTTATTAAAAAGTGTCCTTCAAGGGCGCCTGGGTGGCTCAGTCGTTAAGCGTCTGCCTTCAGCTCAGATCATGACTACTTTGATTGATATACATTACCTTAAGCTAAAACCTAATCCAGACTAAGGCCCTAACTCTCCTTAATTCTAAGGCGGCTGAGAGAGGTGAAGAAGCTGCAGAAGAAAAGTTGGAAGCTGGCAGAGCCGGTTCATGAGGTTTAAGGAAAGAAGCCACCTCCATAACATAAAAGTATAAGATGAGGGGGCACCTGGCTAGCTCCGTCAGTAGAGCATGCAACTCTTGATCTCGGGGTCTTAAATTTGAGCCCCACACTGGGTGTAGAGATTACTTAAAATTTTTTTTAAAAAAGTACAAGGTGAAGTAGCAAGTGCTAATACAGAAACTGCAACAAGTTATCTAGAATATCTAGCTAAGATCATTAATGAGGGTGGCTACAGTAAACAAAAGATTTTCAATGTAGATGAAACAGCCTTAGATCGGAAGAAGATACCCTCTAGGGCTTTCATAGCTAGAAAAAAGTTCATGTCTGGTTTCAAAGCTTCGAAGAACAGGCTCTCTTGTTAGGGGCTAACACAGCTGGCAACTTTAAGTTGAAGCCAATGCTCCTTGATCATTCTGAAAAATCTTAGAGCCCTTAAGAATTACACTCAATCTACTCTGCCTGTGCTCTATAAATGGAACAACAAAGTCTGGATGACAGCACATCTGTTTACAACATGGTTTAGTGAATATTTTAAGCTCACTGTTTAGACGTGCTGCTCAGAAAAAAAGATTCCTTTCAAAATGTTACTGCTCACTGACAATGCACCTGACACCCAAAAACTCTAATGGAGATGTGTAACAAGATTAAAGTTTTCATGCCGGCTAAACACATCTATTCTGCTGCCCATGGATCAAGGAGTAATTCTTTCAAGTCTTATTTAAGAAATACATTTTATAAAACTGTAGCTACTATAGACAGTGATTCCTCTGATGGATCTAGACAAAACTGAAAACCTTCTAAAAAAGATTCACCGTTCTAGATGCCATTAAGAGCATTTGTGATTCACGGGAAGAGGTCAAAGTATCAACATTAACAGAGGAGTCTGGAAGAAGTTGATTCCAACTCTCATGATTTTGAGGGGTTCAAGACTTCAGTGGAGGAAGTAAATACAAATGTGGTGGAAACAGCAAGAGAACTAGAAGTGGAACCTAAAGATGTGACTGAATTGCTGCAATCTCATGATAAAACTTGAACAAATGAGGAGCTGCTCTTTATGCATGAGCAAAGAAAGTGATTTCTTGAGATTGAATCTACTCCTGGTAAAGATGCTCTGAAGATTATTGAAATGATAGCAATGGGACACCTGGGTTGCTCAGTTGGTTAAGTGTCTGCCTTCGGCTCAGGTCATGATTCCAGGGTCCTGGGATCGAGTCCCACGTGTCGGACTCCCTGCTCAGCAGGGAGTCTGCTTCTCCCTCTCTGCCTGCCACTCCCCCTGCTTTGTGCTCTGACAAATAAAATCTTTAAAAAAAAGATAGCAAAGAATTTAGAATATTACATAAAATTAGTTGATAAAGCAGTGATTGGGCTTTAGAGGACTGACTCCAACTTTGAAAGTTCTACCATGGGTAAACTTCATTGATGTTTAAAGAAATTGCCATAGCCACCCCACCTTCAGCAACCACCACCTGATCAGTGAAGAGCCACCACGGGCAAAACCCTACACCAGCAAAAAGATTACAACTGGCTGAAAGCTCAGATGATGGTTAGCAACCCAGGCGTCCCATTGCTATCATTTTTTTTTTTTTTTAGCAATAAAGGATTTTTAAATTAAGGTATGTATAGTTTTTTAAGATATACTAGCACACACTTAAAAGACTACAGCATAGTGAAAACATAAATTTTAAATGCACTAGGAAACCAAAAAAATTCATCTGACTTGCTTTATTGTGGTCATCTGGAACCTAACCTGCCATATCTCTAAGGTATGCCTGTATTTGGATATAATTAACCTGTGGTTAAGGGTATGGGCTCTGCTGAAGGAGGCAAACACTGCTAATGGTAAATATTCTGGAAAGCAGATATAGTGTCAAAAAACAAGGCTCAGGGGGCACCTGGGTGGCTCATATGGTTAAGCGTTTGCCTTTGGCTCGGGTCATGATCTCAGTGTCCTGGGATCGAGTCCCATGTCGGGCTCCCTGATCAGTGGGGAGTCTGCTTCTCCCTCTCCCTCTGCCTGCGGCTCCCCCTGCTTGTGCTCTATCTCTCTGACAAATAAAATCTTTAAACAAAAACAAGGCTCAGAAAGTAGATATTCATGTGAGAAAGGAACTAAGCCTCTCTTGACATAGACTCAGAAGAGTCTATGGGTTTCTGGCCTTGTGGGAGGATAGGAGCTAGGCAGGAAGAGGACAGTCTTTTCAAGGCAGTGTTCAAACAGGTGTATGTATTACTGAAGGGATGCTAATGCATTCCAAGGGACACCTGAGCAGGATAAGTTTTAAGAAAAATTTTTATCTTTAATTTCCCTATGTTTACTTTCCTAAAAACGATCTACTTTCCCTAAATCCTCATTCTTCCACTGTTCAAAAGAAACCCATACTTCTCACCCATACCAAATCTCATTACCATGCATTGCCCCAGCTTGTAAAACCTTCATGGAACAAAACAAGGGGATTATTTAAAAAGTGAAGGGCGCCTGGGTGGCTCAGACGTTAGGCATCTGCCTTCAGCTCAGGTCATGATCCCAGGGTCTTGGGATCGAGTACCACATCGGGCTCCCTATTCTGCGGGAAGCCTGCTTCTCCCTCTCCCACTCCTCCTGCTTGTGTTCCCTTTCTCTCTGTTGAAAAGTAAATAAAATCTTTAAAAAACAAAAAACAAAAAGCTCACAAAATCTCTCTTAAAAAAATAAAAATAAAAAGTGTCTTAAAGCCTCCCTTAATCCAGGCACCATTTAACCTCAAGCTTGTGTCTTTGCCTGTCTTATAAGTATTTCTGCTAAAGCACTGTTTTTAAGAATGGCATTTTGCCCTGTGTTTAGGAATGTTCTGAATTCATATATATTGTTTAGTGTGATGACAGGAACAATAAAAACTTTTCACTTAATGACTGCTTCTTCCATTCTCAAAATATTGTCCAAAAATGCACTGTCCTGAGAGAGCTCCATGAAAAGAAGAAATCAGTAAGAAACTGAGTAAAGTTCAATTTATATTTATTGCAGAGAAGTATGATAAACTGATCAATACTTTAAAACACATTAAAATCCACTGGATTCAAATAAAATTATGTTGAAGAAAAGGAAGTTAAAAATAGAAGGTCAATAAGAGGAATAATGAAAATTTCCAACTGTTAAAGATGAATTCTAGTTTTTTAAAACCAACGATAGCATCAAATCACTACTGAAATTAGGTACTTATAAAAAAATAGTGTATCTAGAAAAGCCAGAAATTGTACTTTTTTTCAACTATTTAAACTTAAGATGAAAAATTTTAGGATTCAACTTAGAAATGTGCAAGGGTACAAAGTTTATCAAATTTCTTTTCAGGAGCACATTAGTATAGTAGGTAGAATGGTCCCCCAAAGTAGTCCACACCCAAATCCCTGGAAACTATAAATAGTTATATTATATGGCAAAATGGACTCTGAAGATGTAAAAAGATTACAAATCGTAAAACAGGAAGATTATTCTGGGGTTATCCAGGTGGCCCAATCTAATTACAAGAGCCCTTAAGAACAGAAAACTTCCTCTGTCTGGAGTCTCAGAGATTCAGTAGTAGCATAAGTCAAAAACATTAGAAGCATGAGGGAGACCTGACTTGTCATTACTGGAGGGGACAGGACTGAAAGCCTTTCAGCTTCTAAGAGCTGAATAACCATCTAAGTGGTTATCACTCCAAAAGGAATCCGCATTCAGCCAAGAATCTGAATGAACCTGGAAGTGGATTTTTCCCCCAGACACTCTAGCATGGAATACAGCTCAGCCAACAATAAAATTTGGGTTTGTAAGACCCTAAGCAGAAGACCCAGCTGAAT